GTCGGTGCTGGTGTGGATGCAGCTAATGAAATGCATTAGTGAATCTGTGGGGTAACATTGATCGCTTAGCCTGTATTCCTTCCCCTTTCTGTTCCCTGGCCCAAAAGGGATTGTAATGGGCTGCACCAATATCCGATGCCATGGCTATAAACTATCCAGTTTATATCGCAGCTCAAAGCTGCATCATCAGCATCCATCACGTAATTGTTACAAGTACGCCGGCATCATTTGTCGTCAAGAAGTAAGAAGTAGCATGGGCAGCCTGGGCGTGATCCGTGGCTTCCCCCAGCTTGAGTTCCTTGGTTTTCTTAATGGAAGGGCCCGGCGCTTCCGAAGCGGTTGTGATGCTACTGCTAGGTGATGGGCACACACAGCTCTGAGGGACAGGAAGGTGCCATGGGGCGGGCAGCAGAGGCCTTTGTTTCCATACTGCCTGGCAGGTTTTTGGCACAAAAGGGCCCTCACAGGAGAGGAACAGTACTGGGGGATGTGGCCGGTCCTAATAATTGTGTCGCAAATCTTGTGATATTTGGCACGTTCTTAAAGACCTGGCTCCTAGAGGCGGGGGATTAAATAACAATTGCTTCCTTTCTCTTTCAAGCAAGGCTTAGCTCTGTGGTTGCAGAGAAATGCTTGAAATGTGACTCAGGCTGAAGGGGAAAAAAATAAATCTTTGCCTTCCAGCCCTCTTCCCTTTCCTTGTCCCCAGGATCCCAGCATGGATACACTGCCATGTCTTATGATTTTTTTCAATGAAAGTGTTTAAAACTATTGGACGCATCCAGAAGGACATAAAGTGTGGCCAACTGTGGGTGTGTGGGAGTATTTATGAGTATTTTAAGGAGAGGTTGGTCACATTCTGTGCTGAGACACACTCTTGCAACGTCTGGTCCTCTTCAGAGAAGGGAGAAACAAAAATGGGACTGGGTAGCAGCAAGCTGAATATCTCTGAACAGGTTTTTTTCTCTCGCTTCCTTAGGGAAACCCCTTGGGCTCCTCGTAATTGAAATTTCTCTTTATTTTTAAATCTTTCTGTTTTTCTCTATTTCACAAATGTGAAAGCTGAGGCTGTTCATTTCTGTGTTGGTTTCTTAATGCAGTCATCGGTAGCAAATCAGTATTGATCTATTCCTATGAATATACATCAACGCTTAAAGTAAAATGCAATCCCATTAAGAATGATACAGGTTTTGCAAATGGAGAAAAGTAGGTCAAATATTGCACCAAGCATCCCAGAGTGTGTCCCTTTAAGCCAAATAAATGTGTGAATACACTTAAACTGTCAGCACGTCATTTGATTGCCATTATTATGCATCTTTTGGCATGAGCTGGCAGAGCCCTCTGTGACTGAACAGGGGTTGAAAACGTCAATTCTGATGTATTTACCAGGTTGTATTTTACACCTGGGCTGCGTACGGGGGTGTGTGTGGGGTGCATGTTTAAGGATTTTTCCTTCCCCCCCCCCCCCCCCCCACCAGGCGCACGATGTGAAAGCAGGAAAGCCACATCATTATATGCAAGGGGCATGCAATGCAGCACAGGAACGCACGCGATTTAAATCCGATCATTAAACTGCCGCAGCAAGAGGCTGTGGGGGAAGGGGGCATCATTATATGCAAGGGGCATTGTAGCAATGCAGCACAGGAACGCGATTTAAATCCGATCATTAAACTGCCGCAGCAAGAGGCTGTGAGAGACGGTGTGGATGGTCCATCTGCAAAATCTGTGCTCCTGTTGTACAAGGAGGAGGGGCAGAGGGGGGAGAAAAAGCAGCTGCTTGGCTGTGCTATGAGAGGGAGAGACTGACTGTTGGCACCATCTGTAGCTGTCCTTTGTGCTTGCTGCTTTATCTGTTCATTATAGTATGATACTGAATTTCTCGTGCTTTGAGTGTAAATGAGTTGAGATGTGCCTAATACTGTCAGCATAAAAAGCAGTAACTAAGTACACTAAAGATGAATAGTGTAATCTGTAAATTCATTTTGAGTTTGTTTCATCTTGCTTGAATAGCCCAGGAAGTGATGTTCTCCAGAAGCCAGCTGTACCAGATGTGTGTGGGGGGTATATATTCATCTTACCAAGCGGAGAGCAGAGCAGTGGAGGCGGATGGGGCAGGGGAGAAGGGAGACCGCCCCAGCATTCGCAGCAGAGGAGAGCAGGCTCCGTTAGAGGGTTCTTGCTCCTGCTGAGCAGGGTGGAGGGGGACTGGTAACTCCTAAGGCGGCTACAAACATCTCTGTTTTCATTCCATGCACAAACACGGACGCAGGGAAGAGAGCGATTATTATACATGGTACATGAGTTGAAATGTCCCGGGGGAGGAAAGGTTAAACCTCTCTGTAATGAGTGCTGTGATAGGGATGAGTAAATTTGCTACGTTTTATACCTGCAGTCGCTTAGTTTCTAAAAACATGAGTCCTCTCCAGAGGACTTGTAGAATGAAACCATCCAGCTTATCTTGAGGACTTCTTTGTTCTTTGACGGTTTACACTGCACCTTTATAAACGTGTGTATCCGATATTGGTAATAATAATAATAACAACTCATTAAGATCTTCTCTTGTCTTCACCTCACCAAAGCAATGCTATCTCATTGGCATATTCCTTTTCCGGGAGTTACTCTGCTTTTTTTCCAAGCAGGTTTGGCTTTTGTTTGCAGATACATGCCCTCAGACCCATCGGGTTGTTGCTTTTTATCTTATTTGTCAAGTGCGTATAGGTGTGCAGAAGGAGCAGCTCCCTCCTCCCATCAAAGCCTCATTTAACATGGACGATTTCCATTTGACACTGTAGTAATTACGCTCGGTTGTGGAAGTGCTCAGCATCCACTATTACTCTGCGACGGCTGCATTTAGTGTTCGGCAGAACACTTTGTTCGTGTTTCTCAGAGCTCAAGTGGCCGTGGTGTGTGGGAAGAAACCCTGCGAGGCAGGGATTTGTATCTCCAGGCAGCTGGAAAAGGGGGAGGGGGGGTCTTTGTCACTGGCACATTAGTAATGATATGCCAGGGATAAAAGGTGAGTATAATTTGATCAAATGCTTGTTGACAGATTCCTTGGCTAATAGAGAAGCAGCTTAGACTGACACTCGTGCTGGAACGTTTCACAGAGCTCGGGGGAATGCTTTCTGTAGGCTACATGTGAGGCTGACAATTTCCGAGTGACCATATTTAGTTACATAAAGAAGCGGTGTCCCCTTTTTGTCACAGCAGAGCTCTGAAATGCCTCCCTAAACACCGCTCTTGACCTTCTGCTTGATAAATGCAATTAAATTACTACCTCTCCTTTGTCCAAATGTGTGATTAATTCACGGGAATGGCCCGGGCTTTAAGTATTTTTCTTGTGTGGCCATTAAACTTGAGAAATTCTGATTGTTTCTCGTACTGGTGAAAAATCGTATTTGTGGGTGTTCTTGGCAAAGCAGATTCCTTTTTTCCCCCCTACAAATACGACTTTACAATTAGTCTCTTTGGAATTTGTTCTAAGTATGTGTTAACAGTACCTGTGAGTAGCTACTGGAAAAAGGTGGTGGTGTACCCTGAAATGATAGTTTGCTACTGCTTATGATTATGTTATTTGGTGAAAAGACAACCATTAGAAAAATAAGAAATGAAAATAAAAGCCTCAATTTTAGAAAATTCTGCACTTGTCTCTTTTAAACCAGCAAGCCTAAAATTACATGTAGAGCTCTCCTACTCTGAACCGCTGTGGCAGCTTGGGTTTTGAGTAGCCTTCTGGTTCTCACCTACTTGTGCAATCTGTTGATTTGTGTTCGGTTCATAACACCTAACTAAGCACTTAGTTAAAAATTAAATACGAAGCATTTTCTTGTTCTGAGGGTTTTGTAAAGCATGCTTTAAAGAAGGAAAAACCCCAAGTGCTTCCACCTGAGAACGTTTCAACTGCAGAATTTTGCAATTCGTTCCGCGCTTCCACCTGAGAACGTTTCTTCAACTGCAGAATTTTGCAATTCGTTCCGGTGAAACTCTTCACTGTGTCATACCTTGGTGACTTTTTACCGGAGCCACTTCTGATGCTGGAATTAAACAGGCAGCTTTAAGGCTCAGACGGGTGTTGCTGGAGGCTTCAGCGGGGTGTCTCGGCTGGGTGCGCTCATGGGAGCCGGATTTCACCCACAGTCACTTTCTGGGGCTCTGCTTACTACAAAGCGGGTGGTTTCTCTAACAGGGGCTGGTCTTTTCTGAGTGTGGGTGCGTAAGGGAGAGGCCACGTTTTCAGGGATGATGACCCCTTTCATGTCTTCAGAGGGAGTTGCAAGCTTTTCATCCCTCTAGGAAATCTCTGCATCTTGGTAGTTCATTAGCGTGATTTTTCTGTAAGCACAGAATTACCCTCATTGACCAGAAGATTAGGCACATAATGGAAATACACATTTAGGGGTTGTGCTGGGTCAAATACAGATTTAAGTACCTAACTTTGTATCCATACATTAGTGTGGCCATATTCTCCTGTTTATCTATTCAAGACTGGTAGCTGATAGCAGTTTTGGAAATGAATTCCTGCACATGGGTTTCTCTTTGTGCCTCTCCAATTAATCTTTTGCACAAAAATAGCTGAACAGAAAAGAGATCTTGTTGTTCTTTGCTCCCCTCTGTGAATGATGTCTTCTGTATGTTTTTGTTACGTTTCTATTAGTGTGAAATGAATTCTTTGGCGTCTTTTCACTTACCACAGTTATCCCATGTCCTTGTGCCTCATCCATTCTTCATCTCTGTGCCGCTCAGCTCAGACAAGTTCTCTCGTGCCTCCTGGGCTGTGCAGAATGTTTGTAACTTGTGTAAAAACATTATAATGATAGTGTAGGGCAATTACAGACTCAGTCTGATAGGATAATAATGTGAGTGGTGGTTCGTGGACAAGCTTTTTGCTCCTGGGGTTTGTCTGTTGGGATTGTGACTCCTGTTACAGTAGCTCGCATCTGCGCTCGGCTGTGCCGGTTCTTCAGTTGTGCGCTTACTGTCATTGTGTTCTGTTTGCGCAGCGCTGCTTTCGTCGTGGTGTGAGGAGCTGGGACGGCTCTTGCTGCTTCGCCACCAGAAAAGCCGGCAGAACGATCCTCCAGGGAAGCTACCCATGCAACCCCCCATGAACTCTATGAGCTCCATGAAACCCACCCTCTCTCATAGGTGAGTCTCAGCCCAGTCCGTAGGAGTGGCAGCCTGTACCGATGTACTGCATGACAGATCTGTTAATTGAAATGCTTGTTACCTTTGACGGAGGTAGCTACACTGTTTCATGCACTGAACAGCACTACAGCCAACAGGGAATCTGTAATTACAGCAAGTACTAAATAAACTCAGGTTTTGTCTTTGCTATTGCCTGGTGCACGGTGAAGTGGCACTTCCATCTTCAAATCTGTGCTCAGATCAAGTGGGCTTGCTTTCAAACTTCAAGTTGCGCCCTGGAGATGAACTTGTACCACGTCTCTCACCAGACATTTTCCTACTGTTTATTTAAATACAACTGGCTTTTCTTGAGGTTGAAAACATTTCATTGATGTTCTGTTTTGTAAGTGTCCTTAGAAATGCATTGTATACAAAGCAATTGTATACTGGGCATAGCCATAGATGGGAGAATGTCCTATACCACCTTATATCAGGTGAGGGTCACAAAGCACTTCTGTTAATTTAGAGAAAATGTGAGCATTAAAGGACACTAGAAGAAGCTGAAGATGTGAAGCCTTTGATTACCAAATTACGTGGGGGAGCAGTATTTGTATTTCTTGTCTGCAGAGCCTAGGTCAAGGCAAAAGCTGAAGAGTAAGTGTAGACAGGATTAAACGTTCATTTCATGCTTTATGTTTCCGGGAGGTTTTTTTAAGGCTTTCTTTCCCTCAGCATCACATTAAAGAAATCACAAATAGTATAAATTTTTTTAGTGTAGGGCACTTTTGTTCATAAAGGATTACAAGAGTGCGGATGAGGCTAAATTCTTTGTACCTAGATTCCATGGTAGCGTAAGTAACTTGAACTTTTGTGTTAGAATGGAGCTTAGGGACATCTTTGTACCAGTGCATTTGCATGTGTGGATTCATCTGGAAACCACTTTTGGGTTTGGGTTGGGGTTTTTTTTTTTCCTTATTTTTGTTGTATTTATGGGAAAACCATGCAAACGTTATGCCTTTTATTACAGCCCTTGAGAATAGTTTTTTGTAGTATAACTAGTATAATATCACTGACTTTCAGAGTAGCTGGATTGCCTCTTTTTTCAGTTGCCTATGAAATGATCGATTGTAAACACACTTAAAAAAACCCAGAAAACCTTTTATTCTAAAATAACTTATTTTTACACCTGGGGGGAAAGCTTTGCAGAAGCCGAGGTGAAATTAGCGGCCAGTCTGCAGAGAAATTGTGGTGCAGTGTATACGCTCTCCTAGGTGTAGTTTTGTAGTTTTTAGATGCCTGATTCTCATCCGGCCTTTTAGCCTCTGTTCCCCTAGAGTCTATAAAGTAAGGATGAAAGCACTGTTCTATCTTACAGAGGCTGTGTGCTACATTATTAGATAAGATAGGCACAACTCTTTTCTTTCATGGCAGTTTTCCACTAAAACTCTGTCACATGTCAAAAAATAAATACTTTCTTCTGCTAAACCTAAATACCAGCATTTCTGGCAATACTGGGGTACCCAATATTCTACCTAATAGTAGAACATCCTGCCCAGTATCAAACAGTCCCTGTAAATTAAGTATTACCCTTGAAATGCTTTACTAAGGAAGACACTGGGCGTCAGTTCTAAATTACTGCTGTTTGCCCATGAGATGCCCCTCTAGAAACATAATTTCTGTGGCATAACTTCTTATCTATAATAGCTGCAGCAGCCTCTTAGGGGTTTGGAATACCTGCATCGCTGCTTCGGTGTGCGCTGTTGTCTCATCTGTAGTTTAGCTATAGCCATGACTGCTCAAAATCTCTCAGGTGGTACATTAGAATGAGACATCTTGTAGCTCTCCAACTTCTTTTTCCAACTGGAACTGTTTATTTTCATGGAAGTTTTGTAATCAGTCTGTAAGACAGTAGTGAAGTATAGGGTGAAGAAGAATTGAGGTTTGTTTGAATTAAACAAAAGATGAAAAGCCATTAAGTACGATCCCAGTGATAAAAGTTGTTGATGAAGCAACATTTGTATTTGCATTAGATTACATTTAGGTCAAAAGCTTAGTATTAAAGTTCGCAGTATCTTACCTCTAATTCACAAGGTTTTTGTGTGAATTCAAACAACAAAAAAAAAAGTATGCTTTGCATTTCCTACAAGATACTAATGTAGCCAGCTACTTCAAGTTTTGTAAAAGAATTAGATATTAGATTAGAACAACCAAGAGCATATTCAAGAACCTTATGTAGCTTAACAGAGGGGATATAGGATATATGTCAGCTGCTGAATATCACTAGACAAAAAAACCTCTTCCCCTGTCATTGGACTATCTTGAGTACTTCACACAGAGCTTTTTCTGCTGTTACTTTACTAGCAACAAAATTGCCCAGAACTCTAGTCAGGGACTAGAATCCCAATGTACCTGGCACTGCAGAAACGCAGCTGCTTAGTCTCAAAGTTGAAACAGGGCTCGGCTAGTTAAAATAAATTCTGACTCAAGAATGTATCGCAAGAATCTAAATCTAAGGATTCATATTTAAGAAACTGGGGGCACGTACACTGGAGGGAATTCAGGTATGGCCCATTTTAGGGACAACCTTTTATTTTTAAAAAGCTAATTGAGTTGTGGGAGAAAACTGAAGTAGACAGATCAAGGAGAGCTTTGATAGTGATACTGTTGATCGATGAACAGAGAGAACAGAATAGAAGCCATACAAGGATGTGCACACACGCAACATGCTTTCAGAGTAGGGACTGTATTGTGCTAATTTCTTTCTAAATTTAGTTTTTCATTAACAGAACGGTTGAGTGTGGCATATAGAACAAAAATTCAGCTAAATACCTACTTCCTAATGTAGGGCGGTTGGCTGGGCTGCAAACTCCTGTGCTTTATGAACAGCATGAGCACTGGATTCTCAAAAAAAACCCCTCAACCTTTTTTTTTTTTTTTTTTTTTTTTTTTTTTTTTTTTTTTTTTTTTTTTTTTTTTTTTTTTTTTTTTTTTTTTTTTTTTTTTTTTTTTTTTTTTTTTTTTTTTTTTTTTTTTTTTTTTTTTTTTTTTTTTTTTTTTTTTAAATTCAGTGCAGTGTAATAATAGCTCAAACTTGAATGTGGGACTCACTGATTTTGGGGTGGGGTTTTTTTAGTTTTATTTTTAGACTTTTTTACCGATTCATGTGGGTAAACGTCACTCCTGTACTGAAGGACCAGTATGAGACCTATCCACCTCCGTAATCCTCTATAACTTCTAATTTAAGTCCTACTTAAAGGATTTATGGGGGACTTGAGGAGACCCGGTAGTCTTTGGGCTGGCCCTTCTGCATAGAAGTGAAATTGCACGCTTTCTAGCTTGCGGGGAGTAATGTAGCTTCTTTGTGTTGTAGTTTTCCAATCTGACATAATGTCTGTAATAACAGATACTACTCAAGGTGGCTGATTTTTTACTTTTAAACTAATTTAAGGTCTTTGGCAAATGCTGTTATGCAAGTACAAATTACTGTCGTCATACACCTTCCTTTGCTTTGATTGAGTTCCTACTTAACACTCCGTTGCATTAAGTGGTGGACCTTTACACGTGGATCAAATTGAACCTTGGTTGAAATGGGTACAGTTTCTGTCGATCCCGGCAGGAATTGCACTGTAGTTCAGTTTAAGGTGGATCTGACCCGTGCAAGCCCTAGGGCGCTTCTCATTTCCTGCATAGCTTGTAGTAAAGCTTACTTTGTCAACAAAAACACCTGAAAATAGACAGCTGCTAGTTGCAGTTCAGTATCTTGTCATGAGTGTTCATCGGGTTCTTACTGTCTTCTCTCTTGCTCCAGATTTTGGTCTTCTGTATTAATTGCCAGCTGTCTTGCAGTTAGTGACCAAAGGGTAGTAATGTCTGTATAGGGCAGTCAAGATGGATGAAAAATATGAAGAAAAAATTACTTTTATCACAAATTACTTAGTGCCAGAGGTTTTGAGAAAATTAAACAGTAGATCAAATTAAGTACTAATTCAATATTACGGTAGGTGCTTTATTTATTATCATTACTGTTTTATGTTCAGGCAATTGCCATAAATACCTTTTATTGGTTAGACTTGCTTTACAAGGGTGCTTATTTTTAGTGTTTGTTTTGTCCCTTTTTTTCTTCCAATTTAAACTTTACTAAGAGCTGAACTTTCAACACTGGTAGGAGCTCTTGGAAAAGAATGATAATTCTGTGTCTGAATTTTTACTGCGTGGTTAGGATTGGCTCTTACATCGTTTGTTAAGAATCAGGAGTGATCTGGCTATAACGTACCAGCAGAAACAGTGTCAGAGTTTCTGCAAAGGTTGCTGCCTTTTCAATTTTGCCATCATAGGCGGCTTTGACCGATGGTGATAGTCACTTTAAAAATGTCTGGATGAGAGAAATGGTTGAAGTGAAAGGTCAGGTGCAGCATATACACACTTTTACAAAAACAAGCATGTTGTGCATGTTTTATACATCAGCTTGAAGTCGGGGATCACTTCATTACTGCATGTGGCTGTGGCGTACAGGAACAATCTTCGAAAAAGAATTCAAAACTCTTTAGGTGAAAGATAAGATTGTTTCAAAGCCTTTTCATCTTTCTGTTTGTGAAGTTGTGAAATAAATATAATTAGGGACTGAACAGATGGTAAATCCCTAATATAAGAGAATATACCCAGTAAAGCAACCTGTGTTACTCCTGAATCTGCAAGAGCAGCCTCTCTCTTTCTTCTGTCTTCCATTCTGCCAAGAAATGTTAAAATCCACCGTCAGGAGAAAATAAGGGAAAAGTTCACAATCTGAAAGTGTTTCTGCGGAAGTGCCATTTTCTTAAAGAAAAAAAAAAAACCCTCAAGATTTGTTCAGAACAGTATTAAGTGAGGCCCCTGATGCTCTAAGCATTGTAAAGACAAAACTAATTGCTCGAAAAGACTGTCCCAAGACTTGTTTGCCCATCTTGTCCTCTAAGTGAAACCACTGATACTAGTTTTAGCGCATACACTGATTATGGGGAGGAGGTGGAAGAAAATCTTGAAAG